CGTCGTTCAGCGTGACGTCCTTTGCCCGAAGCAAGACGATGATGTGCGTGTCACCAACATCTGCCTCACCATTGGGTAGCCAGTCGTAGTGTTCCGAGTCACGCACAAAACACGCGATTCGCCGCGCGAGCTCGACCATGCGACCCAGCATGGCGGCCATACCCTTGCGACCTTCGCTACGCAGGACTGCATACGCTGGTAGGGCGCGGAACCGACGTGAGTTTTCGAGGCCAACATTCAGGGGGCTGGGGATCGGGGCACCGGCGGACGAGGCAAGGTACGCTGCGTTTGGGTTGGTGAAGACATTGGTCAAGGTGGACAGGGACCGGGTGAAGAACATGCCGCAGTCGTACGGCTTGAGTGGATTGTCAGCAGAGTATGACCCAATGATGTGAATCAATCGAGATCAGGGACAAAATTCTCGTCTTACCACGTTCAAAAGCTTGTGTCCGTCGACTGCGATGCTATCCGCGAGGTGGACGCCTGAAACTCGTTCGCGGAGCTTGTCGAAGACGGTCCCGGGAGCGAGTGCGGCGGCAAAGATACCGAAAGCTGTGCTTTCCCATGTTAGGTCCATTTCTTCGCCACACATATAACAGGCGACGACTTGCCTCCGTCCACATGAATCCAGCTGCCGTACAGGTCAGCCAGCGCCCTTAGCCGCTCCATGTCCTCTTTGCCCGCTGCGAATAGTCCCGTGTTCACCTCTCCCGCACTGACCGCAATAATGGTCGCGACGCCTGTCCCGTCTCTCGCCACAAGCTCTCTCTCGACAGCATCCACGTCGAGAAGCCATGGCCGCTCGGGACTCTTGGCCATCTGCTTTACGCTGGCCCTGCCCAGTCCTACAATGCTTGCCGCCTTGGAGAGCGAGCTGTGGCCCATGCTCGTCAGAACCTGAATCTCCGTGACTCCTGCCGCGACGCAGGCGCCCAGGATTCCAAGCTCCCCCACCGAGGGTGAACCTGGCGGCACGCGCCGTGCAAGAACATGCTCTCTTGCGCATGCCAGACCGAGGATATTGCTCCCCGTGGCGCCAGTCGTAAAGGTGCGACCGGTGAAGATACCACGCGGGGCGCCGGTCTGCGGATGAGATAGCCCGAGGAGGTCGACGAGAAGGTCGAGAGCCGCTGCTTCGACGTCAGTAGCGATGGTCTGATCTGGAAGGTGCACCTGGACATTCTGGTCCAGAGCGGCGACGACGGCTTCGGCGGCCTGAGCGGCGGGGTGGACGCTACCGGTGACGAAGCCGTAGTAGCGTGGGGAGAGGGCTTGGCCTGAGAGCGCAGGCACGATATCCTCGAGGAGATGAGCTGTCGTGGCAGAGACGCCGAGGGGTTTCGATAGAGCATCTGAGGCCTTGGGAAGGGAAGCTGCCGCGCGAGTAAGAGCTGAAGGGTGTGGGAGAGTTGGCGGCGACGAAGGAGGGAAGTGCTTCTTGACAGTGTCGTCGATTTGAGCGTGGAACGCCTGCATGTCAAAGGATGTGTGTGCCATTGCGGCTAACGAGCAAGGGTTTTGTGAGGTTAATTTTCGTGGTTCTTCCAGCTCTGCACCTGAATACAACCTCTACCATCGACTCGTTATCGCGAAAACGGTGTGTCAGGGGTGAACTGTGTTCATGGTGGTGTGACTCAACATTGATCTTGGTCACAGTCAGTCACGGTATTGACTCAAGGTCTAAGTGGGATGTCTGTACTGTATGAAGGAATCTCATGATGAGTAAGCTAGTGATCGTAGAGTCCGACGAAACCATCATATTTCCACCTCTGAGGCTATTCAAGGCACTTTCAGATATCATGCGGGTGAATGATTGTCGAGTTGTTGAACAGATGTCCATATTGGATTTCAGACGCTCCACGTATGCATTTCGTGCCTTTGAAGACCTTCATGTATATCGGAGATGGCACATGCCAAAAAGCTGATGCTCGCTACCTAGACTCGACTACTGTAGAATACAGCACGGATTGTATGGTGAACAAATCCTAGCGCTAAAATACCAATTAGGCAGGTCGCTAGATTGATAGCAACGGGGAAATAGTGATTGATCCTGGTCGATAGCAACCCCTGGCGTGTGCCAGCCTCGGACGCCCTGAATGCGAGAGAGACGCTCGTCTGTCTGCCTTTGCCCAATCAGCCAAGCGTACCTTATACAACAAAATTTCATACCAACACATGAACCCATAGACAGCTGGTTTCCTGACCGGCACGGCCAAGATCTGGAATCGCCTAAAAACTCTGAGAATAGTGTGATCTATTCACCCAGATATGAAGAAGGATCCTCAATCACGTGATGCCACTGACTGCTGAAGCCAATGACTGGGATCAGGCTGCATTTTGTGAACAATGGACAGACCCCATGTTATGGCCTTCTAGAACAGGCTACGTAATTACAGCTAACCTAATCTGCCCTGCTTGCCTACGAACCCTCTTGCCCCATTCCTCTTTCCTTACTTCAGCGACACGCCACGACTACGTTTAATCCATCGAGACTTGCCCTGACTTGCCTTTGAGTCGTCTTCAAAAGCAGGAGGTAAAATCTGAATCCTGGCCCT